AAAAAAAAAAGCCAGGTGTTGTGGTGGGTGCCTGTAGCCCCAGCTACTTGGGAGGCTGAGGCAAGAGAATCGCTTGAGCCCAAGAGTTTGAGGTTGTGGTGAGCTATGACAGCACAGCAGTCTACCAAGGGGAACAAAGTGAGACTGTCTCAAAAAAAAGCAACTAAAAGGCATTCAGTAGAATTCTAGTTAATCATAGGACTGCAGAATTCTTTAGAAGAATGATACTGGTATCTGCAACTTAATCTAAAATGTAGCAAAATCAACAACTAAAAAGGAAGGATTATGAACAAATCAATGCTTAGATAACTGGCAGAACTGGTCTAATACAATGATTATGGTAAAAATCTAAGCATGTGAGTGGGAACTTGAAACTTCTTTCAGTATTTCTACAGCTTGGAAATTTTTCACAAAAGTATGTTGAGCAGTGAGAAAAAAATATTGTAATATTAAGAATTTAATAAGGTGACCAAATAGAAATTAAATATCTAACACATTTATTTATTTATTGCAATTTTTGGCCGGTTCCAGGTTTGAACCTGCCACCTCAGGTATAGGGGGCCGGCGCCCTACTCCTTTGAGCCACAGGCGCCGCCCTAACACATTTATTTTAAGAATATTATAAGGAAAAGGCAGTTGGCAAATAACACACTACTTAAAAACAAATAATCTAGACTGGAGATAAAGTCAGAAAAATAAACCAATAGGTAAAGGCAACATCATAAAATGTTCTTAAAAATGATACATAAGCCCAAATGTATGCACACACTTCATGTGAATTCACTCATAATAGCACTCGTTCAAATATTAAAAATACAGTAATTTTCAAATGCTTATTACACGGTATGAAGTGAAAAACAAAATTGAAGTATCATTTATGTAATTTACATATATTATAAATATTAAGCACATAACACACAAGCCTTAAATTCAAATATTCTAAAAATCTGACAAGGGTTATCTTTGAATAACAGAACTTACCATTTTTTACTTGCGTAAGAAACTTGAAAAGAAATATCCAAAAGGAATATGCTGGAAACTTGCAGGACAAAGTAAAAGCCACATCTTAAAGATAAAACATACCACTTTTAGATATCTTTTATCATTGATCTCGCAAAAAAATTTCATTTCTGTGGGTTCAAAAGTAAGGAGTGATATGGGGTGCAGAAGGGAATTTAAAAACTAGTGGACCTGCCACCTCCAGCATATCAAGCCGGCGCCCCTACTCCTTGAGCCACAGGCGCGGCCCCTAAAAACTAGTGAAGGGCCTTGGGCAGAAGGGAAATGTTGACCTCCATCAAATCTGTTCCAGCAGCGAAGGCTGGAGCTCAACCCACCAGCAGCCATGGTCCCCCGGCCTCCAAAGCTGCAGCCCATAAACACATCTGTATCGCCGCCACCGCCCGGCTTAATCCCAAAACTTGGACCGGAGACCTCCGTACATTAAACCCCCAAACAATCCCTAGATCATTTAGCGCCAAAACAACCCAAGGACCATACACCGCAATCGCTGAAAAACCAACCCTCCAATTTGCAATCGTTGAGCACCGCAAACAATAAATGGCAAAGACACGAAAACGTAACCTTGGCAATCAGTGGCTAATCCGTAGAATTTTTCAACCACAAACTGTAAGGGGTATCCTGTGACAGATGCCAAACGCACCCCCATCACATACACTCTATGGGGTCCCCCAAAGTTCCCCTGCGATAGAAAACGCATCTCCGCTCCACTCCGAGGCAATTCTACCCGCCCCACCCACGCGGGCACCGACAGATCCCCGCCCACCACCACAGTGCATGAACTGATGCAGCCGCTGACTGTGATCTCCAGTCACTACTCCGCGGCTGAACTTACTCGCTTGAACATCATCTTCAGCCTCCTCACCGCCTGGCTGGGGATAACCAGGGTAGGCGGCGTGAAAACAGCTTTATTGCTGGAAGGAGAAAGATGGCCGCGCCCTCCTCGCCCTGGCCCCCCAGGGGGCGGCCATCTTTGAGCTTCTGACGTACAGAAGCCTTGGCTGTGTTGCGCAGGTAACCAGCGGAAGGTGAAAGGTCATCGCAAGTTTCCCCTGTCCTGGCACCTCAACCCTTCATAAAAATGAAGATGTACCTGTTAGAGGCCTAAACCCTTCCCCACCTCCCCTCAGAACAAAAGGGCTACCTGGCCCGGCCCCAAGAGTTCCTCCGGAAAGACGCTAGCCCTCCAACGCTTTCCAGCAATCTGTGGAATCTTCCTAAATTCATTACAAAAACAAGCCCCAAACTACTCTCAGGTGCAGCACCGTCTTTGCCCAGAAAGGTCTCAGTCCCCTTTCATTAAACTTGTCCTGAGCCTCTGGTCTCTTCTCTGGGTACACCAATGAAGAACCCCTTTCAGTGCCAGTTAAAAGCCAGGAAAATCGGAGGTGCCGGTAGTTCAGTGAGTAGGGCGCCAGCCACATACACCGAGGCTGGCGGGTCTGAATCCAGCCCGGGCCAGCTAACCAACAATGACAACTGTAACAAAAGAGAGCCGGGCCTTGTGGCAGGCGCCTGTAGTCCCAGCTACTTGGGAGGCTGAGGCAAGAGAATCACCTGAACCCAAGAGTTTGAGCTTGCTGTGAGTTGTGACGCCACAGCGCTCTACCGAGGGCGACACAGTGAGACTATCTTAAAAAAAAAAAAAAAAAGCCGGGCGTTGTGCGTTGTGGTGGGCACCTGTAGTCCAGGAGAATCGCTTATACCCAAGTTTGAGGTTGCTGTGAACAGTGACACCTCGGCATTCTACCTAGGGTGACAGCTTGAGACTTTGTCTGAAAAAAAAGCGTCAGAAAAGTTGAGACCCAAGGCGAGGACAGAACCTACAGCAGAGACTGGACTTGTTCCTCATACCCAGGTAGAGCCAAAGACTCAGGATAACTTCAGAGGGAACAAAAGGTTGTGTAAAAAAAAGAGACTATGCTATCTTACCTGTGTCGACTGCGAATAATGACTACCAAGTCAATGGTAAACCGTAAACGTGGATCTAACCAACCTCTGATATAACTATATTAGAAGAATGGGGGGGTGGGGTGGGAGGAGGCGCGGGGGAGGAAAGGAAATGCCTGTGTGAATGTCTGAAAAGCTATCAGTGAATCAATAGAGAGCGGAAATTGCCAAACTGTTTTCAGAGTCGACCATTTCCTATTCCCACCATCAATATATGAGATGCACTTTTTCTGCATATTTGTAGTCATTTGCTATAAAGAGAACTTTAAAATAAGAAAAGGGTGATTAAAATCTCCCCCAAATCTTTCAAAATAGCTAAATGAACACTTTTTTTTTGTAGTTTCTGGCTGGAGCTGGGGGCTCAGTTTGAACCCACCACCTCCGCATATGGGGCCAGCGCCCTACTCCTTTGAATCACAGGCGCCGCCCCTCACCTCATTTTTTTTAGAGACAGAGTCTCACTTATAGCCCTCAGTAGAATGCTGTGCGGTCACATCTCACAGCTACCACCAACTCCTGGGCTTAGGCGATTATCTTGCCTCAGCCTCCCAAGCAGCCAGGACTACAGGCGCCCGCCACAACGCCCAGCTATTTTTTTGGAGACAAGAGTCTCAGTTTATTGCCCTTGGTAGAGTGCTATGGCGTCACAGCTCACAGCAACCTCCAACTCCTGAGCTCAAGCGAGTCTCCTGCCTCAGCCTCCCGAGTAGCTGGGACTACAGGGGCCCGCCACAATGCCCAGCTATTTTCTTTGTTGCAGTTTGCCCAGGGCCGGGTTTGAACCCGCCACCCCTCCGTACATGAGGTACTTAGCCATAGGCGCTGCCCCATGAACACGTATTTTTTAAAATCTCTAGTGTCCAGTTTTAAAAATACCAGTCTTGGCTCGGCACCTGTGGCTCAAGGGGCAAAAGCGCCAGCGACATACACCAAGAGCTAGCAGGTTCCAATCCAGCCCAGGCCTGCCAAACAACGCAACTATAACCAAAAAATAGCCGTGCGTTGTGGCAGGCGCCGGTAGTCTCAGCTACTTGGTAGGCTGAGGCTAGAGAATCGACTGGGCCCAGGAATTAGAGGTTGCTGCGAGCTGTGATGCCACCCGCAGTCTGCCCAGGGCGACAGCTTGAGGCTCTGTCTCAAAAAAACAAACAAACAAACAAAAAAAAACCCAGTCTTACTAATATACAAACAAATGTAAATGTGAAATGTGTTTTAATGCTTAATATTCATAACCACTAAATATCTAAATGGTGAGGACAGGGGATAAAGGAATTCTATATTCTATTATGTTAAACCTCTTTAAGCTTTCTTTTTCTCACCTGCATAGCAGATAAGTTGTTGACAACATACAGCTTTGTGAATTGAGATATTATTCTTGTTGTAATATTAAGTTCTTCAATGCTGTATTAATTTTGAGTTTAGAGGATAAATTAATATATTTGTAGTCCTGTTTTTACCCAGTTTAAACTTTTTATTCTCTTTAAGCCATGAATTTTAAGATTTGATTCAGTAAAACTTATCTTTGGGAGAACAAATATGTACAAGAATATTTTGCATAAATTTAACAATTATAAGGAAAATAATTTTGTGATGATTGCATAATTTATTCTTGCATTTCTGGATTCACATCTTTGGACAATGTCTCTCATAGTGCTTAGGATCAATGTGACCAAATACAAACAGAGGTAAGAAATAATCCTGTTCACTGGGGCTTGCTCTGTTTGTCTCTTGGAACTCTCAGAACAGGCTGTAATACAGGATGAGAGATTATGTAAATAAAGGCCTCATCCATTCCAGTGGAAGCCCAGTTATGTGAAAAAAGCTATTTAAACCATGCAGTCCCAGTTAAAATTGAGCTCTTAACTCACACAACTGAAAGAATAAATATCTGTTGTCTTTAGATATTAAGTTTTTAAGAATTTGTAAGTGACACTAGCATGAAGGTATATCACTAGGTAATTTGTTAAATAAATTACTGAATGTCTTTTTATGAGCAGGGACAGTATACAGACTTAAAAAGAATGGAGGAACTTTCAATATAAATGAGGAAAAGTATGATTTTGTTAAATTTTAAAAATCTGTTTAAAAAAATCAGAACAAAATTGCAGAAAAAGTGTATGTAGTATGAATATAAATTTTTTTTTAATGTAAACACATGCAATTCAAAATCCTCCATGTATAAAAAGCCAAATTTGGGTTATCACTTGAGAGACAGATATCAGGGGCTGGCAAATTCCCCATTTTTATAATTCTCATTGAGTTGAACACTGTGTTCTTTTCTCTGGATATCTGGCACCATACAAGGCAATGGAAATGTGCAGTATAAAGAAAAGATTTGGGGGGAGAGGGCAGAACGAATAGTCTCAAAAATCTGTTGGATATCAAACATGTCAACAAATGTGTAATGGGATTGATTCCCAGGAAGAAAGTTAAAAAGGAGGAGGAGGCGGCTCCTGTGGCTCAAAGGAGTAGGGCGCAGGTCCCATATGCCAGAGGTGGTGGGTTCAAACCCAGCCCCGGCCAAAAACTGCAAAAAAAAAAAAAAAAGGAGAAAGAAAAGCAAAGATAGTATACATATGGTAAATAATAAAAAAGTGTTCAACATCATTTGAGAAATGTAAGTTAAGTTCACGAGCTGACACTATTGCATACCTAATAGAATGGCTAATATAAAGTATAATGTCAATATCAAGTGGTGGTGAGGATAAAGAGCAACTGATACTCTCATGTGTTGCTAGAATGGCTAAAATAGACTAAAGATACCAAGTGCTGGCAAGGATGTAGAACAGCTATATCACATACTCTGCTGGTAGGGAAAAGATTTGGTAGTTTCTTATAAAGCTGAACACAGCTTACCATTATATCTGAACAAATGTACACAAGAATCGTTATACTATAGAAATAGAAATTTATGTTCACATAAAGCCTTGTACACAGATTCAACAGCATCTTTATAATAGTTAAAACCAGGGGAACAACACAAATCCCTTTCATCATGGGTAAAGGCATGAACAAGCTGGTACTCAAGTTTGTATACTACTCACTGATAAGGTGTTTTCTTTTCTTTTTTTTTTAATCCCCTTCTCCCCATAAAGGGTTTTCTATGAATAACAAAAACATTCCTTCAACACTCATGAAATGCTAAGGGTTTTAGTGGTTGTGGCATGGAACCAAAGACTAAATATATTTCTTTTCTTTTTCTTTCTTTCTTTTCTTTCTTTTTTTTTTGAGACAGAGTTTAACTCTGTAGCCCTGGGTAGTGTTGTGGCATCATAACTCACAGCAACCTCAAACTCCTGGGCTCAAGCAATTCACTTGATTCAGCCTCCCCAGTAGCTGGGACTATAGGCGCCACCACATAAGCTATTTTTTTAGAGACAGGGTCTCACTCTTGCTCAGGCTGGTCTTGAACTCTTGAGCTCAAGCAATCCATCTGCCTCGGCCTCCCAATGTGCTAGAATTATAGGCGTGAGCCACCACGCCTGTCCCCTTAAATGTATTTCTTATTACACTATCATTATACATAACAATAATCAATGATTAGAACAGACAACTTTAAAAAATGATGGAATCACTGACAAGGCAACTAGAAATGAGGCTGAAGCTATCTGGTCTAAAAATGCACACCACATTATCTGATGTATAATGAACTTAGATTAAAACAAAAAGCACTCAAACATTCTTCATTTTCAGTGGACTTCATTCCTTCATAAGCTCTTTGATATTTTACTAAAAGTGCTCCACATTCAGCATGTACAGAGCAGTTTCACTTTCTATTTGATTTCCTGAAAAATGATGAGGTATCACCAAAATCCTGCCATAAATACTGTCTTCTTAAAGTCACTCTCTAATGTAAACTGACACTCACTGATTCTTATTTCTGGGTAAAGGTTTTGTCATAGTCATCACATTTCAATCAACAAGGACCTCACCGAAGATTTCTGATGAACCCTGATGATAAAGTCTCTTTTCCCCAGAAGGCTTTCCTAGTCTGTGCATTAGCAGAATTTGTCTCAGTAAACACTTTGCAAACACAGGAGCTAGAAATTACTGCTCAAGGCATTTCCACATTGAATGCATTACAGTTTATCCAATGTGTTTTCATTAACAGAAAATGTGAGGTAAAAGATCACTGAAGGCACTATACCATATTTACTGTATTCACCAAGTATATCATCTGGGCAGATTCTTTCATCTACTGAGGACACATATCTAACAACAGGTAGTGCCGTGATTATATTCCATCTGCTAGCAATAAACTCACATTTGATAAATTCTGAGTTGCCACAAAAGGCATTTCCACAGTCAATGCATTAATAGGGTTTTTGTTTTGCTTAAGTTCACTTGTAAGTAATAATCCATTACTCTCTGGTAGAGGAATTTTCAACTTGGATGATTCTACCCATTTCTCTTATGTGCATTTTCTTGTGTTTAACAAGGTTTGATAAATGGGAAAAGGCTTTCTCACAATCGCTGCATCCATATGGTCTCTCTCCTGTATGAGTTCTTTGATGTACATTGAGTACTGACTTTGTGGTGAAGGCTTTTCCACATGCATTGCACTCATAAGGCTTTTCTCCTGTGTGAATTCTCTGATGGGTAATGAGACCATATTTGTGTGAATAGGATTTTCCACACTCAGTACATACAAAGGGAGTCTTTCCTGTATGACATCGTTCGTGTTGTATAAGGCATATTTTCTGGCTGAAGGCTTTACCACATACACTGCATTCATATGGTTTTTCTCCTGTATGAGTTCGCTGATGTATAATGAGAGTGCGCTTTGTGGTGAAGCCTTTTCCACACTCATTGCACATATAAGATTTCTCTCCTGTATGAGTCCGCTGATGTATAACAAGAGTACGCTTTACCGTGAAACCTTTTCCACATTCACTGCATATATAAGACTTCTCTCCAGTATGAGATCGCTGATGTACAATGAGATTGCTCTTCACCGTAAAGCCTTTTCCACATTCACTGCATAGGTAGGGTTTCTCTCCTGTGTGAGTTCGCTGATGAACAACAAGATAGCGCTTCATGGTAAAGTCTTTTCCACATTCACTGCATATATAAGGCTTCTCCCCTGTATGAGTTCGCTGATGTACAATGAGATTGCTCTTCACTGTGAAGCCCTTTCCACATTCATTACATACATAAGGTTTCTCTCCACTATGAGTTCGCTGATGAGCAATTAGATAGCGCTTCATCATAAAGCCCTTTCCACACTGACTGCATATATAGGATTTCTCTTCTGTATGGGTTTGCTGATGTGCAATGAGACTGCTTTTCACAGTAGAGCCTTTTCTGTGTTCTTTAGGTACATAGGTTTTGTCTCTTGTATGAGTTTTCAGGTGCTTAGTGACCATAAAACTTCTGGATGACTTCTGACATTGACCACTTCTAGGATCCTCTCTTGTATGAATGTTCTCATGGTAAATAAGCTGAGACTTCCTGAAGAGGGTCTGCTCAAATTCAGTGGATGCATGGAGTTTCTCAATTTTTTTAATCTTCTGATGCTTAAAGACTTGGAATTTAGTATTGGTAGATTTTTCACTTCTAGGGAATTGACTACTAGTACAAGTATGTTCATGTTTAACATGTAGAAGAGTTTTCTCATCTCCACTAAACTCAACAGAGTTATTGATTTCATGCCTTCCCTTCTGGTTGACTAAACTGAAACTTGATTTCACAGTTTTTCTACATAAGTCAAATGTATCATGATTTTGCACTAGAGGCCAATGGGTTTCACTCAGATGAATAGTATTTCTGAAAGCATTATGTTCACTGCATTGTTGTATGCTCTTTAGAAATCTTTGGTTTGGAGAATATGCTTGCAGATGACCATCAACTTTACTGATTCCTAAGAAAGAATAGAACAACAAAATCTTCCATGAGAATGGTTTGGAATGAAAATGCTGACAAGATGAATTGGTGAGGGCTAGCTCTTTGTTGTTAACTATATGATCCCAGTATAAAAGAAAACTATAAAGATATAAGGTGAAATAAATAAGGACCAGATCCAAGAAGAGACAAAAGCTATATTTAAAACTAAACACCTTTTTAAAAAGTTCTTGATCCTGCAATCCCATTACTAGGCATCTACCCAGAAGAAAAAAAGTTACTTTATCATAAGGACTTTTGTCAATCAAATTGTGAGAGAACTTACTGAGAAGTAGAACCAGACAAAGCCATTCTCTTAAAACACTTATGTTGGCTCTGTGCCTGTAACTCAAGTGGTTAAAGTGCCTGTAACATACACCAGAGCTGGCTGGTTTGAATCCAGCCCAGGCCTGCCAAACAATAATGACAACTACAACTAAAAAAAAAAAAAAATAGCCAGACATTGTGGCTGGCACCTGTAGTCCCAACTACTTGGGAGGCTGAGGCAAGAGAATCGCTTAAGCCCAGGAGTTGGAGGTGGGTATGAGCTGTGATGCCATGGCACTCTACTCAGGGTGACAGCTTGATGCTCTGTCTCAAAAAAAAATTATGTTCATGTTTAACATGTAGAAATTTATGAAATATTTTTAACAATTAAAAAATGCAGACTGTGAGATAAGACAGATAAAAGATGTAAATATCTCAAAAAAATATGCACATGGGGAGACCACAATGCGTATTGGGGGCCCCAAAAGTCAGTTGAACATAAGAACACAGGCCTTAGATAAAAGAGACAAGAAATGTCTTATAGAGCCCTAGCCCTTCTCCCACAGAGAGCCTGTACAAAGGTCTCCGTGGGCTAAATGAGCCTTGCAAAATATGCTGAGAACAGCAGGGACAACTGGCACCTTGGTGAAAGAGACAATCTCTTGGGGTTTCTTCCTCCCCCACTCCCAAGATGGGTCTGATGTTAGCCTATCTGACCCCAAAGACCAAAGCCTTACTTGCCTCCTGTGAAAACTATATATGTGGTCAAAACTTGCTATTTGCTCTCACATCCTACTTCTAAACTTTGTTTTTTGTTTCATTAATCACATTCCAATTCTTTAGCTTAGAAATAACGTAAAATAAAAGTATTTAAAAAACAATTTAACTGAAGTAGTTAAAAAGTAGCTAAGTAGTAAAAGTAGCTAAAGTAGTAAAAGATGATGTATAAGACAATTTTTTACTTTCTTCCATAATTATTCATTTGTTGATTTAAATAAAATATATGTAATAAATACTGAGTTAACCCAGAACACAGGGCCTTTGCAGTATCTCACATAAGTGGTGTTGGTCCCCTGAGCCCACTCTTTTTAAATCCTACTTTGTCTGTATTGTCTTTATTTCTTTCATTTTCTTGGCTCCCCTGAACAATGGAGATACCCAACGAGTTGTGTGAGGCTGATTCCCTACAGACATTTGCACTAGATTGTTTATCACAGCTCAATTTACAATAGCCAAAATGGAGAAACAACAACAAAAATAAAATAATAATAATAAAAAAAAGTAAAAGCAACCTAAATGCCCACCAACCAGGAATGGATTAACAAGCTATGGTATATGCATACCATGGACTACCTATTCAGACATTAAAAAAGATGGAGACTTTATATCTTTTGTATTAACCTGGATGGAGT